AAGTCCCTGAAGTCCCAGCACACACACAACCGTTTGCGGCCTGAGCGGATCCACCGCAAAAAGGGACGAAAGAGAGGAGCCCAACATGCCCCGGCGTCTGTTTTCCTCCGCGGTGCCGCTGTTCCTTCTCTGCGTGCTAATGTGCAGCAGCACTGGCGCTGTCTCCGCCGAGCAATAAGAAGGGGAAGTGCGCCATCGGGCGCCCAAACATCAATTGTTTGCGAAGGTCACCATTGGCTTGGGCGCCAGAGCGGACTCCGAGGGCGCAACGGGTTCGTTCCGTGTCCCTTGACTTGTTGATGTGAATGGGGGGGGCGTGGTCTTTGCCCTAGGCGCACGCGGGAGGCTCCGCTGTGGGTGTTGCTGCTGGCATTGCCGCAGGGGGCATCCCGGCTGAGGGGGCATCGGCGGCGCAGGGCGGAAGAGTGATGGATGATGAGCTGACGGCTTACTTTCCGCAGGCGGCTGAGCCCGCGAGTGGAGGGGTCCCGCGTCTCGTGCCGCCAACGACAATTGTGAATGAGAGCACAGTTTACCTTCTCCTCGGACAGTATGTCACCGCGGGCTCTGCTCCCGCCAACGGGAGTGTGGCCCCCTACACGGACCTGCTGCTGGCAAAGGTGGCCTTCGACGCCAAGGCAACGCTCAGTGCGCAGACACGTCAAATCAAGTGGGCCGACACCTGCTCCCCGTGGCCCTACTTCCCCACAACGATTTATTACAGGCCCATCGTGGAGGTGGGCGGCGGCGGCGGCACTGGTGTCGTGCTGGACGACGGGACGCTCACCTTCCCAGCGCAGGCCCGAAAGGCAGACGGGACGGTGGTCTCCCTCGTCCTGCAGTCGCGAAGGCCCGAAGAAGACTGGGAGCTCTCGTGGGGCACGACTGTGAGCGGCTGCTCCAACCCCGCCATCGCCGAGTGGGACAGGCAATACGGGACCCTCTACATGGTCACCTCCTGCGACGAGGGCTTCTACAGGGTGGTGAGGTCCCGTTACTGGGGAGAGGAGTAGGTGGATGAGGACGTGGTACTTTCCCGCGTGTGGGGCACCTCACGCGCCCGAACAGTGAAAGGCGTGCGAAGCGTGTTCGTCATTGCCACCATTGGGGGAAAAAAACTGATGCTCCTCACGATGCCGGTGTATTCTGATGGCAAAGAAAACCAAGAAGGAAAGGGTCGGCTGCATCTTTGGTTGACGAACAGGCAACGCGTGGCCCTGGCGTAACCGCCGCGGAGGAGGACGCTGCTGCCAGCTCCCTGTTCTACAAAAGTGCGAAGCAGGGGGAGTTGGTTTCGGTATACGAAAGGCGGACGCAGGCGGGTGAGGAGTCGTACAGTGTTGTGTCTGTGCGCTCGACGGGGCAGCTGGGGAAGGTAAAGTCTGTGGTGCAGCCGTGGACGGCGTTGGACGACGCTTCACAGCGATGCACTGGCAATGGCAACCCGCAGGGGACGTTGGCCGCGCGTTATGTTCCCCCCCCTCACTGAGGGGCTGCTTGGCTTCTTGGCCGGCACGCTGGAGCAGACCGCATGGAAGGACGAGTACCTCTGCGTGAACGCAACTGCTCGCGGGGCAGTGGCGAGCGCGGCGGGGGCTCTGAAGTTCAGCGGCGCCGGGGCGGGGGCGGAGTGGCCCGTGGGGAAACTGGGGCAGAACCAGCCGTACTACTCTGCAAACAACAAGTTCGCTCTTGCGGTGACGGTGACGATCCACGCGGTGCCGGAGGACGACGACACTCCTCTGCTGGGGGCGAGGATGGATGGCGCAGCCAACACTGTGCTCTTTGGCCTGTCGTACACGAAGGACAGAAAGTGGAAAACCAAACTTGATAATGCTGCTGCCGAGGAGCATGCTGAGGCGTGGGCACCAGTCACGGCAGTTCAAGTGGCGCTGCAAATGGATTGGGACGATTGGTCATTGTACGTTGGTAGGCAGAGGATTTGCGGAAAGAAGTACAGTGGCGCTCTGTTCAACTCGAACAGGATCTCCCACTTCTTTTTCGGCATGGACGGCACGCACACGGCTGCGGGCAGCCCCAACGTGACGGTGGCGAACGTCCTGTTGTACGCCGCGTGCTGGGCGTGGGTGATCTGCAGCGACTGCAAC